TACGGCGATAAAGCCACATTTCGAAAGCTTCTAATCTGTTTATATCCCTCGTTTTGAGTGTCCAGCCCTCTACGCCATATAGCAGCACTGACCATACGTAGCACTTAGTAAACCTTAGTCTCAGTTAAAGATCGAACTCTGAACAAGTCAGTACCTTCTTGAATTTTACGAAAGCTTGTCGAGCTTGCTCAATGCGACATTTTACTTCCCTGTCCGATGCCCAGTCTTCAAAAAGCCACGATCCCAGGTATTTAAATTTACTCACTCTTTCAATGGATTTAGTATTCAGTGTTATGGTGGAGTTTTCAAGTGCATCCAAGTTTCTGGAGATGATCATGAATTTGGTCTTTTTGGTATTAATCTCTAATCCCATTCGCTTACTGTATTCTCCGATTATAGTGACAAGTTGTTGAAGATCGACTATGTTGTCACAAATTAAGACACCATCATCAGCATATCGTATGTTGTTCATCAATACTCCATTCACCTTGATTCCCATCTCTGCATCCTCCAAAGACTCTTGAAATATGGCTTCCGAATAAATGTTAAATAAAACAGGGGAAAGCACACATCCCTGTCGAACGCCTCTTCTTATATGTATGGGTTTGGATATAGAATTGTCTATTTTTAACTGTGCCGTTTGATGCCAGTACAAGTTTTCAATGCATCTTATGTCTTTTTGGTCTATATCAACTTTCTTGAGAATCTGCATTAACTTGTGGTGTTGGACACGATCAAACGTTTTTTGGTAATCTAAAAAGCATAGGAACACATCCTTCCTCTGATCGTAACAATTTTGGACCAGCACATGTGTTGCTACTATTGCTTCTCGTGTTCCTAAACCTTGCCTAAACCCGAACTGGGAATCACTGATATCCCATTCACATTTTTTGTATAATCTTTGATGTAGTATTTTTAAGAATATCTTTAAAGTGTGACTCATCAGGCTAATGAGTCTGTGATCCTCACATCTTTTGGCAGTGACTTTCTTGGGCAGGGGCAATAAAGGTTTCATCCCCTTTTCATCTAGTAATTTAAGTATTTCTGACGGGATCTCATCTGGTCCAGGTGCCTTATTGTTTTTTGAATTTAATATTGCTTTTTCTATCTCCTCTTTGGTGATTGAAGGGCCAGTCAGCTGGTCGTCTGTATAAACTTTACTCATGGGTCTTTCGTCATGGAAGAGCTCCTGGATATAATTTTCCCATATATCAATTTTCTCCTTTTCACCCAGCACTATCTGGTTATCCTAATTAACTATGGTAGTTGGTCTTCGTTTTCTGTATATTCCAGCAGTCTCCTTAAGCTTTTTATGTAAATTACGGTCGTCGTGCTGTCGTTGTAAATGTTCTAGATCGATACATTGTTGCTTAAGCCATTCATTTTTTGCTATTCTTATTTTTGCTTTTATTTGCCTGTTAATGTTTTCATACATATTGCTGCCATCTTGGTCATTCTTGTGTCTTCGTCGTTCTTTCATTAGTAATAGTATTTCTTCTGTCATCAATTTTTGCCTCTTGTTATTTCGTTTGTACCCAAAGTTGTTTTTCATGATGTCTGTTACAGCACTTGTAATCGTATTCCATGTTGGTGTTAGATCTTCGGTAATGTTTGTCGTCAATATTTGAATTTGTGCGTTTATTTCATTGCTTATTTCCGCTTGTATCACTGGGTCTTTCAGTTTATCCAGTGCTATCTGTTGTTGAGTTTCAGGCTTGTTCTTGCATGAAAGAGCGATCTTTATGACGGCCACTAATAGTACGTGGTCAGAAGGGACATCTGCTCCAGGGTATGTGCAAGCTCTTTTGACAGTTGTGCTGAATCTACCGTTTATAAGAATGAAGTCTATCTTATTTCTTATTTTGTTATGAGCTCTATCGGCTGGAGATTTCCAAGTATAAAGGCGACGGGGGTGGAGTTGGAACCATGTGTTGGTAACTCTCATGTTTTCTTCTTGACAAAATTGTATAAGTCGGTTGCTCCTTTCGTTCCTTGTTCCAAGACCATAGGGTCCAACTATGTCTTCAAAGCTGCCCTTCCCTATTTTGAAATTAAAATCTCCCATAATTATGTTGACATCATGTTTCTTTGTCAGTTTAAGTAATGTAATGATACGCTACTATAAAAACTGTATCCAATCCCAAAAAATGTATTTTTGTGCCTCTTTTGGCTGATTCTCAGCCAATTCCTCCACTCCTTTTTTCTTCACTCCCGTATCTCCAGAAACCCACACTGAACTAATTAATTTTCCTTAATTATTTTACTTAACTTCCATACTTAAGTATTTCAATATATTTTTGGTAAATTGTATTTATGTACTTACTGTTATTATTGCAACTGTTGCACCTAATGTTAGACCGCATAGTACATCACTCCAGTGATGCTTGTAGTCAGACACTCGCGTCATAGCTGTAAATAGGGACGAAAGAACTGCCAAAAATTGAAGGGTGTGTTTAAGAAGCTTTGAGCCATCCCAGGTCATGCGTCTTTGAAGATATATCTGAAAGCGACATTCTATTAATTAAATTAATATTTAATTTGAGCATAAATTTTAGCTAAAAAATAAATTGCTGGTACATAATTAATAAAAACAAATTAATTTTATGAGGCGATATTTGACCTAATCTTCAATAGACAACAAATTATATTAACTATTAAAATAACATTAATAAATTTTGATACCATTTGGTCATTCGGGCTCATTATCCTGTGATAAAGGGTCTTAAAAATAACAAAAGACCAGGTAACGATAACGTATACGGGGAAGTATTGAAAATTCTGTACGAAACAAATAGTCAATTTCTAGACTCACTCGTCAGACTCTTTAACAATATTTATAACAGCGGGGAGTTTCCTGAAAACTGGCTAGAGTCAACTTTTGTTGCCATACCGAAAAAACCAAAAGCAAAGTCTTGTGATCAACATCTGATGATAAGTCTAATTAACCACATTTCGAAGGCATACACCAAGGTTATTTACAACAGAATAAGCAAAAAATGCGAGGATAACATTGGAGATTCGCTGTTTGGGTTTCGGAATTCTCTTGGGACAAGAGAAGCACTTTTTAGTCTACAGGTACTCATCCAGCGCTGCAGAGATATGAACAAAGACGTGTACATATGCTTTATAGACTACGCAAAAGCATTCGATAACGTAAAGCACGAAAAGATAATTGAAGTTCTCCATAAGATCGGAGTCGACTACAGAGACATTCGAACAATAGCGAGTCTCTATTGGGGTCAAACAGCTAAAGTGAAAGTAGGATCTACATTGACCAATAAAATTGAGATCAAGAAAGGGGTACGACAGGGCTGTATCTTGTCTCCAATTCTCTTTAATATATACTCAGAAGAAGTATTTAAGACAGCGCTGGAGGAAAGCACAGAAGGCGTAAAGATAAATGGAGAAATAATTAATAACATAAAGTATGCTGATGACACTGTGATTCTAGCAAGTAGCATGGAGGAACTGAGTTGCCTAATGAGTAAGATACAAAAAACAAGTGCACAATACGGACTCAGACTAAATATCACAAAAACCAAATGGATGTTAGTAAGCAAAACCCAACAACCACCACAGCAACTGATATTAGACAATGAAAGAATTGAACACGTGGATTCGTTCATCTACTTGGGAACAACAGTTAACTCAGATTGGGATCAAGCGAAGGAAATACGTATAAGAGTAGAAAAGGCAAAAGCATCGTTCACTATCATGAAGCAAATTTTCACCTCTAAAAGCCTCACCCTACCTCTCAAAATTCGACTTCTGAAATGTTATGTATTCCCGGATTTGTTATATAGAATGGAGGCGTGGACAATGACCGCAACATTGATGAAAAAAGTAGAGGCCTTCGAAATGTGGGCTTACCGACATATATATTACCGAATATATATTACGTATATCAATATAAGGTTGAATGTTCGAATAATTAAACTTTGAGGGTGTACAAGGCAACTATCGAACACGGTGATTAATTTAATCTTGCCCAAGTACTTTCGATCAATAGATCATCTTCAGGGGCATTTCGTCAATTGTATATCCTGGACTGAGCACGTGACCAACGAAGAGGTACTACGCCGGATAGGTAAAGAGACAGAGGTAGGAATAAGTATAAAGAAAAGAAAGTTGGAATACTTGGGTCACGTTATGAGACATAATAAATATAGAGTACTACAGCTGATCGTTCAAGGGAAAATAGACAGCAGAAGGGGTCCAGGAAGGAGAAGACACTCGTGGCTTCAAAACTTGCGGTAATGGTTCGGATTGTCATCTGCTGAACTATTCAGATCTGCCGTAAACAAAGTCAGAATAGCCATGTTGATTGCCAATGTTCGGAACGGACAAGGCACATAAAGAAGAAGATCCTGTGATAACTTCATTTTAGCACTTTTACATCTTCTTTAGTTGATCTACTAAAATTTGACTCTGTTTCTATATAAAGTATGTTTTCATCGCAATATTCCTTTGTGTATTCGTTGTTCTACATTTGTTATGGAACGTTTTTTAAGACTGTAGTCACCCCAGCTCTTTCCCTAACCACGTCGTTCCTAATCTTGTCCCTTCTACTGTTACCAAATGTTTACCGTAATATTTTCATTTCAGCTACCTCCATATTCTTTTCCTGAATCTTTTTTACAGGCCACAACTTATCGCCGTACACCATCTCAGGCCTCACCACACTCTTGTATATATCTTTCCTTTCAGTCCTTCCCCAATTTTTCCACTACAGAATACCTTTTGCATTCCCTTCCCGTTAAACCAATCATCTTGTATCCTGTGGACAATTTCTCGATCTTGTGTCCAATTTTCCGTTATGTATTCCTACTCGATCTAATTTTTCTCCAGACAATTCGATGTCGCTAACCTTACCTGCTGTGGAAGATAGATATACAGATTCAAGATTCCCTCTGTAAAAGTACCTACATTGTTATTGGTTACTCGTTTTTTATTATAAAATTATATCCAATTACAATGCAACATTTTTAATTTTAGACTTTATAATTTTAGGGTGACATTTTCGTCTTGGTGTTACTAAGTATTTTGCAATTTAATTTATTTTAAAAGTAGTTTATTTAGTATATTGAGTGACAATGTTGCCTGTGAACAATATGAACGTATTAGTTTTTGAGGATGAGGAGAGGCTAAGTGTATTAAGAAACTTTAACATTAATAGGCGTTCACTTAGAGATGAAAGTGATCCCTTCAATCAACTAACAGATTTTCAGTTTAAAGGATTGTATCGTTTAACCAAAGATATAGCAAGAGGTATATTAAATGGAATCATGCAAAATATGGTTATCCATAATAATATTGTGGCAGTTCCAGTTGCAATAAAGTTTTTTGGCACCCTCCAATTTCTTGCTACTGGTAGCTACCAAAAAAACTATAGGACAAAATTTACAGGTTGCAGTGTCTCAACAAATAATATCTAGGGTAATTTTTGAAATAATTGAAGCCATTATTGAGACATTTGCAAATAAAATAAATTTCCTAATTCCATTGAAGTGAAAAATACCAAAAAAATAAGATTTATACGATACGGTTATACGATATACGACACGATGTTTACATATAAACAAACCTAAATTTTTAACGTTTTTACCGATTAGTTGTATCTCTTTCTAACTGATGCCTCCAATTATCGAGCCACGTGTGTCTCTCTCTAAAACAACACGTCTGAAGATGTTGAGTAGAAGCGACACCATAGCTACAAATAAGTTGATACAAAACGACAATTGACACCTTGAAATGGAAGACAGAGTACGACACGTATCGTTTTTTGGCGACTATTGATATCAAGATAACACAGAGTTTACCCACTGATTCTCCCAATCACATATTATCCGTTTTCGACCTTTTAATTTTAAGTCCTCCAAAGGATAATACATAAATACATTTTAAAATTAGATACATAAAAGAAACAAGACAAACAAAAATGTATTATTATTTATTTAATTTAATTTAATTTTATTTAATATTTAATATTATTGACGTTGTTAATTATTTATCATTCCTTACTCGTAAATAGGTGACTAAACATAATTGTGTTAATTATATTGTTTTAATCAATTTAAAAGCCATTTTAATGAAAAAAATATATAATGCTAATTGGGAGATAGGAATTTCCTTTTTTGATATTTTTTTATGGAATAAGTAAAAAAAAAATGAAAGTTAGGTAGATAAGACAATGTGTTCATTAATCAACTAATAGACAAGGGGAAAAGCTCGGGTTCGTTCGTGAAAATATTTCCAAGAGATTTTTTTGCATAATCACTTTCATGGGATACTCCAAAATAAGGTTCAAGAGATCGCCCAGGCGAAAAGTTATTCAATTTTTTTTAAAACAAATTGTAACAATCAATTTTTGCGGCTAGGACAATTTTTTTTATTATTTTAAACAAAATAGACCTCTGGAATATTACAATACAACATTGGAGACCTTACGAAAGTAAACGACTAAGAGGAAGACGACAGGTGAGATGGGTTGATGATATTAAAAGAATAGCCGGAACAAATTGGAAATATGTTGCTCAGGATAGAGACCGATGGAAGGAGTTGGGAGAGGCCTATGTCCAAACATGGACGACAGAAGGGTAAGAAGAAGAACAGGCCTCTTGTAGTTCTTTTGTACACTTGATCGCTTTTTGAGCTTTTAATAATTTAAAATGGAGAAAAAGGTATCACATCACAACAACACAAGTAAAATACATTTATTTTAAATTCACCAAGGACCTAAATTCAGGTTGTTCACCTTGTTCTATTATTTCCCGATAAGTATGTTGAGCCTATTTTATTTTAAAACATAGTTTTTTAATCATAAATGAAGCGCTTATGACAAGACGGATTCTCGAGCTGCGGCGTGTATAAGAGATAGAAACAAGATTTAGGGCACACATTTTTGCTGCTTTAAAATTTTATTAACTTCTGGTCTGTAAACAGTTTTTATTGTTTTGTTCTTCGATTTCGACACGTTCATTTCAATATTTTCAAATCGTGTTTGGTTTTGTTACTCCTTTAAAAGTTTCTCCAATGCGTTTTCACATTTTAATTTATTCACATAATCTTTTAATTTTATATTCCACAAAATTTCATATTTTTCGTATGTGTTAAAAAATGAAATTATCTGATTTCCATCCCACTTATTATAAATAATTGTCGTCCCACTCATTGTAAATAGAACTTTTACTTGTCCGAACTTATTTAACAGTGTTTACACATAGAAAGTATACAACAAATAGTGGGCAAGCGGCAAGTAAACTAGCTGGTCTGTCAACTTCTAGCAAGCGCTTGTCGGAAAATGGCAAGAGCACTGTCCAGTGGTTTACACGGCAAGTTTAGTGGCCGCAAGTACTTTCAGCCAGTAAACTCGCCAACTGTAAACCAGCCTTAACCAAATTTTTTTTGTGTTGTTACGATCTCGACTTTAATTATTTCTTTGTACTGGTAACCATAGAAGGTATTTCTTCTTCTTCTTTCAGTGCCCTGTCCGATTATCGA